CTCTTTGGGCTCGACTCTGCCCAATGAAATCAAATCTCTTCCTAACCTTATTACAAGCCGGCTCCATATCTTTGAAATGAAACGCTCTGCTTCTATAATGTAATACGGTTTTAAAGGGGATCTCCTTGCAGAGTGTGTGTGTGCGTGTGTGTGTGTGTGTGTGTGTGTGTGTGTGTGTGTGTGTGTGTGTGTGTGTATGTGTGTGTGTGTGTGTGTGTGTGTGTGCGCGTGCGTGCGTGTGTGCGTGTGTGTGTGTAGGCTAGATGAAAGCAAAATGGCTATTGTGCGGTGAGCGAGAGTCGACTTTGACGTTTTGCGAGATAAGCCACTGGAGTTAATCCCGTCATATCGGCTCCAGCTGTGGACTGAATAAAAGGGTGTGGGCTTCACAGAGAAAACTTACACTCTGCTGCTTGTCCTGATGCAGATATGGAAGGTGTTGGATTTGTGCTCATTTTTTGTTTAAACTTAGAAACAAAAGTGTTGGAGGTTGAAGAATGAGCCTGTTTACAATGAGAGGGAATCAAAGGGGGCTCTCGGTGCTCGTCTGACCAGAGGGGTGCCCCAGGGGTCAATCCTGAGCCCGTGAGACAATTTTAAGTGGCCCCTGAAACGATTTTAAATGCTCTTTATTATAGTAACTTGCAGCATTGTTAGTAAAGGGAAACAGTGGCCTCTTCTTAAAGCCTTGTTTCAGGAAATCAACCATATAATTGCATCTGGGGTAAAATTTTAAATAAAATGGTATTTATTTATTTATTCATCAGTTTTTTAATACATATCCTAATGATATTTGGCCCAGTTGTGGTTGAATCCAAACCTATGTCCAAACTCATGTCAAATATAGTGATTTTCTCAATAGACATAAATATGCGAAGAAACAGAAAAAAAGGGATCCCACTTTTATACCATTTTTTAAAACATTTTTATGATTGGCCCCTGACCAAAATGAGTTTGACACCTTCCACAGACCAGAGTGTCTGTCTCTCTCTCCACACAGAGATGGGAGCAGGCTGCTAGTTCAGGAGCCGCATGTCAGACCTATTGTACATGCGTTTGGTGGTATAGGAGAAACCGGAGCGCCTGGAGGAAACCCATGCAGACACGGGAGGAACATGCAAACTCCACACAGAAAGGCCTGGAGGTGGAATCAAACCCAGTAGCTTCTTGCTACCAACCGCTGTGCCATCGTATTATGGACGCTGTTGTCACATGTGCTAGTTACCATGGCAACACGCTCCCATTTTCTTGTCTTTTTGTTTTTCCCCCTATTTCTTGCTCCTGGTTTCAGCTTTTTCTTTTGCGTTTCTTTTCCTTGAGGCGTTTGAAACATCATATTATTTTTCAGTTCTGCTTTTGGGGTCTTCCTGGTTTTATCTTGTGACAAATGGGCTGTTTATTGCAGAACTGTTACACTCAGGTTTTGTCCGCGGTTTGCTCTGGGGATGATGTCCGAGGGCCGTGCGTTTCCTGTAGCAACGGGTTCTTTGATCTGACCCTCTGAGTTGAAAAGGTGGGAGTAGTTTCCACACCTCGTGGATTCCTCGGCGATCCTGCACAAAAGCCCAGTGGAGATGCTCTCTCTGCTCCAAGGACACGCATCGTTGTGCCTCCATCACGACTCGCGGTTTTAAAGTGCGGCTTTGATTTACCTCTCTCCGCAAAGGAGAAAAAAAACAGCCTCTTTGGACTTCTAAAGCTGCGACACAGTGAAGACATGCAGAACGGTTTGGGCTTCTCTGCGCTCTGTGCGTTTGGTTTATCATTGCCGACGGATGGTGTGAGAAACATATTGTAAAATAAATTGAATAGTAAATACATAAAATAGAAAATAGTTCACAAATGTTCAAAGGGTTTTGTTTCCAGAGTATTATTATGTTTTATACCAGATTTTCATACAGACTTTTCCTAGATATTGGTACATTTATTTTATTTATCGACACTTATGAACAGTGGTCATTTGTGTTATGTTATGGACCAATACCAATCTGTTTTATTTCTTGTATTTGATTCTCTAAACTGTGTTGGCAACTTCAACGGTTGTGTAAGGTCCTCTGAGAAAACTACCCTCGTGATTTAGGGCTGTACAAGAATACATTGAATTGAATTGAATTGAAGATAAGATATGCTTTATTTATCTCACACGGAGAAATGTACATGTCACGTTTGGCATGGATAGAACACTCAGATTGTGCAAAAGGAGGAAATGTGCAAACATGTTACATGCAGGATATATGTACAATAAAAGTGGCAATTTAAAGTGGCAGTGAGATATAGTGTCAATAGTAGTAGTGCAGGTTTGTTTTTGTTGTTGTTGTTTTTTTTTTTTTCAGTCTTATACAGTGACTTAAAGTGACTTATTGTACAGTCTGACAGCGGTGGGGATAAAGGCCCTGCTCCTTCCTACACTGAGGGTGCCTCAGTCTTCCACTGAAGGAGCTCCTCAGCTCCTCTACAGTCCTGTGCAGTGGGAGGTGTTGTTCATGATGGAGGTGACTTTGGCTAGCACCCTCCTGTCCCTCACCTCCTCCACAGAGTCCAGGGGCCTCCTGTCCCTCACCTCCTCCACAGAGTCCAGGGGCCTCCTGTCCCTCACCTCCTCCACAGAGTCCAGGGGCCTCCTGTCCCTCACCTCCTCCACAGAGTCCAGGGGCCTCCCGTCCCTCACCTCCTCCACAGAGTCCAGGGGCCTCCTGTCCCTCACCTCCTCCACAGAGTCCAGGGGCCTCCTGTCCCTCACCTCCTCCACAGAGTCCAGGGGCCTCCTGTCCCTCACCTCCTCCACAGAGTCCAGGGGCCTCCTGCCCCTCACCTCCTCCACAGAGTCCAGGGGCCTCCTCTCCCTCACCTCCTCCACAGAGTCCAGGGGCCTCCTGTCCCTCACCTCCTCCACAGAGTCCAGGGGCCTCCTGTCCCTCACCTCCTCCACAGAGTCCAGGGGCCTCCTGTCCCTCACCTCCTCCACAGAGTCATAAAAAGTCCTGAGCAGAGGCCTGCTCACTCCGAAGGACCTCAGCCTCCTCAGAAGGACCTCAGCCTCCTCAGAAGGACCTCAGCCTCCTCCTCAGAAGGACCTCAGCCTCCTCCGAAGGACCTCAGCCTCCTCAGAAGGACCTCAGCCTCCTCAGAAGGACCTCAGCCTCCTCAGAAGGACCTCAGCCTCCTCAGAAGGACCTCAGCCTCCTCAGAAGGACCTCAGCCTCCTCAGAAGGACCTCAGCCTCCTCCGAAGGACCCCAGCCTCCTCAGAAGGACCTCAGCCTCCTCAGAAGGACCTCAGCCTCCTCAGAAGGACCTCAGCCTCCTCCGAAGGACCTCAGCCTCCTCAGAAGGACCTCAGCCTCCTCAGAAGGACCTCAGCCTCCTCTGAAGGACCTCAGCCTCCTCAGAAGGACCTCAGCCTCCTCCGAAGGACCTCAGCCTCCTCAGAAGGACCTCAGCCTCCTCAGAAGGACCTCAGCCTCCTCAGAAGGACCTCAGCCTCCTCAGAAGGACCTCAGCCTCCTCAGAAGGACCTCAGCTTCCTCAGAAGGACCTCAGCCTCCTCAGAAGGACCTCAGCCTCCTCAGAAGGACCTCAGCCTCCTCAGAAGGAAGAGGCGACTTTGGCCCTTCTTGTGCAGGGCGTTTGTATTATGGACCAGTCCAGTTTATTGTTAATGTGAACACCCAGGTACTTGAAGCTGTCCACCAGCTCAATGTCCTCCCCCTGGATGTTCAGAATCAGAATCAGAATCAGAATCATTTTTATTGCCACGTAAGTAACAGGAGGTCACAGACTTGGAAATTGCTTTGGCTCAGTGCAACAGTCAAAAAGAGATAATAAAAATAAGAATAAAAAACACTTCTAAAGAATAAATTTAAATTTAGAATAGAGTTACAGTTACTATTTACAATATACAAGTGCACATGGTGCACACAATGTAAGGTGACAGCAGTACAGTGAAGTAAAGTGACGTATGATGGGCAGTAAAGTGACTTTATAAAGGGCGGGGGGACAGGTTAAGAAGTGTTCAAGAGTCCAACAGCAGAGGGGAAGAAACTGTTCTTGTGACGGGAGGTTCTAGTCCTGATGGACCGCAGCCTCCTGCCTGAGGGGAGTGGTTGGAATAGTCCATGTGCAGGTGAGAGGGGAGTGGTTGGAATAGTCCATGTGCAGGTGAGAGGGGAGTGGTTGGAATAGTCCATGTGCAGGTGAGAGGGGAGTGGTTGGAATAGTCCATGTGCAGGTGAGAGGGGAGTGGTTGGAATAGTCCATGTGCAGGTGAGAGGGGAGTGGTTGGAATAGTCCATGTGCAGGTGAGAGGGGAGTGGTTGGAATAGTCCATGTGCAGGTGAGAGGGGAGTGGTTGGAATAGTCCATGTGCAGGTGAGAGGGGAGTGGTTGGAATAGTCCATGTGCAGGTGAGAGGGGAGTGGTTGGAATAGTCCATGTGCAGGTGAGAGGGCAGTGGTTGGAATAGTCCATGTGCAGGTGAGAGGGGAGTGGTTGGAATAGTCCATGTGCAGGTGAGAGGGGAGTGGTTGGAATAGTCCATGTGCAGGTGAGAGGGGAGTGGTTGGAATAGTCCATGTGCAGGTGAGAGGGGAGTGGTTGGAATAGTCCATGTGCAGGTGAGAGGGGAGTGGTTGGAATAGTCCATGTGCAGGTGAGAGGGGAGTGGTTGGAATAGTCCATGTGCAGGTGAGAGGGGTCGGCTGTGATACGACCAGCCCGGCCTCGAGCTCGGGCGACGTACAGGTCCTGCAGCGATGGAAGGCTGCGGCCGATCACTTCCTCTGCAGAGCGCACAATGCACTGTAGTCTCTGTTTGTCCCTGACTGTGGCTCCAGCGAACCACACGGTGATGGAGGAGGTGAAGGAGGAGGTGATGGAGGAGGTGATGGAGGAGGGGATGGAGGAGGTGATGGAGGAGGTGATGGAGGAGGTGATGGAGGAGGTGATGGAGGAGGTGATGGAGGTGGTGATGAGGAGGTGATGGAGGAGTTGATGAAGGAGGTGATGGAGGAGGTGATGCAGGAGGTGATGCAGGAGGTGATGGAGGAGGTGATGGAGGAGGTGATGGAGGTGGTGATGAGGAGGTGATGGAGGAGTTGATGAAGGAGGTGATGGAGGAGGTGATGCAGGAGGTGATGCAGGAGGTGATGGAGGAGGTGATGAAGGAGGTGATGGAGGAGGTGATGGAGGAGGTGATGGAGGAGGTGATGGAGGAGGTGATGCAGGAGGTGATGCAGGAGGTGATGGAGGAGGTGATGGAGGAGGTGATGGAGGTGGTGATGAGGAGGTGATGGAGGAGTTGATGAAGGAGGTGATGGAGGAGGTGATGCAGGAGGTGATGCAGGAGGTGATGGAGGAGGTGATGAAGGAGGTGATGGAGGAGGTGATGGAGGAGGTGATGGAGGATGTGATGGAGGAGGTGATGGAGGAGGTGATGGAGGATGTGATGGAGGAGGTGATGGAGGAGGTGATGGAGGAGGTGATGGAGGAGGTGATGGAGGAGGTGATGGAGGTGGTGATGAGGAGGTGATGGAGGAGTTGATGAAGGAGGTGATGGAGGAGGTGATGCAGGAGGTGATGCAGGAGGTGATGGAGGAGGTGATGAAGGAGGTGATGGAGGAGGTGATGGAGGAGGTGATGGAGGAGGTGATGGAGGAGGTGATGGAGGAGGTGATGCAGGAGGTGATGCAGGAGGTGATGGAGGAGGTGATGGAGGAGGTGATGGAGGTGGTGATGAGGAGGTGATGGAGGAGTTGATGAAGGAGGTGATGGAGGAGGTGATGCAGGAGGTGATGCAGGAGGTGATGGAGGAGGTGATGAAGGAGGTGATGGAGGAGGTGATGGAGGAGGTGATGGAGGAGGTGATGGAGGATGTGATGGAGGAGGTGATGGAGGATGTGATGGAGGAGGTGATGGAGGAGGTGATGGAGGAGGTGATGGAGGAGGTGATGGAGGAGGTGATGGAGGAGGTGATGGAGGAGGTGAAGGAGAAGGTGATGGAGGAGGTGATGGAGGAGGTGATGCAGGAGGTGATGGAGGAGGTGATGGAGGAGGTGATGGAGGAGGTGATGGAGGAGGTGGTGATGGACTCGATGATGGCCGTGTAGAACTGCAGCTTGGCTTTCCTGAGCTGCCGCAGGAAGTACATCCTCTGCTGGGCCTTCTTGATGAGGGAGCTGATGGTCGGCTCCCACTTGAGGTCCTGGGTGATGGTGGTGCCCAGGAAACGGAAGGACTCCACAGAGGTGATGGGGGAGTCCATCACGGAGGGTGGGGGCGGGGGGACAGTGCTCTTCCTGAAGTCCACAATCATCTCCACTGTCTTCTGGGCGTTCAGCTCCAGGTTGTTACCACTGCACCAGGACACCAGCCGGTCCACCTCCCTCCTGTAGGAGACACCAGGACACCAGCCGGTCCACCTCCCTCCTGTAGGAGACACCAGGACACCAGCCGGTCCACCTCCCTCCTGTAGGAGACACCAGGACACCAGCCGGTCCACCTCCCTCCTGTAGGAGACACCAGGACACCAGCCGGTCCACCTCCCTCCTGTAGGAGACACCAGGACACCAGCCGGTCCACCTCCCTCCTGTAGGAGACACCAGGACACCAGCCGGTCCACCTCCCTCCTGTAGGAGACACCAGGACACCAGCCGGCCCACCTCCCTCCTGTAGGAGACACCAGGACACCAGCCGGTCCACCTCCCTCCTGTAGGCGGACTCATCGTTGTTGGAGATGAGTCCAATGAGGGTGGTGTCGTCCGCGAACTTGATCAGCTTCACGGAGTCGTGGCTGGAGGTGCAGTGGTTGGTGTACAGGGAGAAGAGCAGGGGAGAAAGAACACAGCCCTGTGGGGCTCCTGTATTTATAATCCGAGAGTCCGAGACATTCTTCCCCAGACGCACTCGCTGCTTCCTGTCCGTCAGGAAGTCAGTGATCCACCTGCAGGTGGAATCGGGCACGTTGAGCTGGGAGAGCTTGTCCTGGAGCAGGGATGGCAGGATTGTGTTGAAGGCAGAGCTGAAGTCCACGAACAGGACCCTGGCGTAGGTCCCCGGGGAGTCCAGGTGCTGTAGGATGTGGTGGAGGGCCAGGTTAATGGCGTTGTCTACAGATCTGTTGGCTCTGTAGGCGAACTGCAGGGGGTCCAGGAGGGGGGAGGTGAGGGACTTGAGATGGGAGAGGACCAGGCGTTCAAATGACTTCATGACGACAGACGTAAGTGCTACAGGTCTGTAGTCGTTGAGTCCTGTGATCCTGGGCTTCTTCGGGACGGGGACAATGATGGAGGATTTGAAGCAGGACATGGCAGGACTGCAGAGAGGTGTTGAAAATGTCCGTGAACACAGGAGTAAGCTCACTGGCGCAGTGTCTCCGAGTGGCCGGAGACACGTGGTCCGGGCCAGGAGCTTTGCGGGGGTGCAGCCTCAAGAAGAGTTGTTTAGTCTCTTTAGCGGCTATTGTTAGGCTGGGGGCAGGGCTGATGGGTGGGTCGTTAGAGTAGTGGGGGGTGGGGGAGGTGTCAGGGTCAGCATCAAAGCGACTGAAAAATAAGTTCAGATTGTCAGCTAGCTTGTGGTCGTCAGCACAGGGGGGGGCTTTGGGTTTGTAGTTGGTGATCTCCCGTAGGCCCCTCCAGACAGAAGCAGTATCGTTGTTACCAAACTGCTCCTGTAGTCGTTCTCTGTGCCGGGACTTGGCTGCTTTCAGTTCTTTTCTGAACTGATATTTAGCTGCTTTGTAGCCGCTGCGGTCCCCCTCCCTGAAAGCAGACTCCTTTGCTTTCCTGAGCTGCCGGAGTTTAGCAGTGAACCAGGGTTTGTCGTTGTTATAGATGACCCTGGTCCTTGTTGGAATGATGCTATCCTCACAGAAGTGAATGTATGACGTCACAGTGTCCGTGTATTCATCCAAACTATCTGTGGCAGCTCTGAAAAGGTCCCAGTCTGTAGATTCCATGCATGCAGCTCTTCCACAGCTTCATCAGACCACACTTTGGAGCTCCTCACTGCAGGTTTCGAGAGCTTTAGTCTCTGTCTGTAAGCAGGAACCAGATGTATCATGGAGTGATCTGAGAAGCCGAGGGCTGGCTTGGGAACAGCGCGAAAAGCTCCGTGCACGGTGGTGTAACAGTGATCCAGAGTGTTCTCCTCTCTGGTCGGGCATTTGATAAACTGTCTGTATTTGGGTAATTCCTGGCTCAAGTTTCCCTTGTTAAAATCCCCCAGGATAATAATCAGAGAGTCCGGGTATAAGCGTTCCATACACAGTACTTGCTCTGCGTCCGCGCATGGCGGTATGTAAACAGAGGCAAGAATGAATGAAACAATTTCCCGGAGTAATATGGTTCACAATGAATGAAAAGATATTCCAGACCAGGAGAGCAGTGCTTGGAGATCACTGTCACATGGTTACACCAGTTTGTATAGACGTAGAAACACAGCCCACCGCCTCTGCTCTTCCCTGAGAGCGCACAATGGCGATCCGCGCGGAACAGCCCAAAGCCCTGCAGCTCCAGAGCGCAGTCCGGGATCCGCTCATTTAGCCAGGTCTCAGTGAAGCAGAGGACACAGAGGACACCAGGTCTCAGTGAAGCAGAGGACACAGAGGACACCAGGTCTCAGTGAAGCAGAGGACACAGAGGACACCAGGTCTCAGTGAAGCAGAAGACACAGAGGACACCAGGTCTCAGTGAAGCAGAGGACACAGAGGACACCAGGTCTCAGTGAAGCAGAGGACACAGAGGACACCAGGTCTCAGTGAAGCAGAGGACACAGGATGAAGTCCTTGTTTCTTCTCATGAGCAGGCTGAGTTCGTCTTATTGCCCAGTGAGCGTCCGTTGGACAGAAAAATGCCGGGGAGAGGCTCCTCTCCTCCTCAGACGCACGAGCAGCCTCCGCGCTTTCCCCTTTTACGGGCCCACACTTTTTTGGCTAGAACATGAACTAAATCAGCCGCAGATGCCAAGAAAACAGGCAATAGGTCCATGGGAACGGTGGGTCGGATGTTCATAAGTTCCTCACGGGTGTAGGAACAGCCAGATGCACAGTTAAAAAGTAAAAACAAAAGAAAAAGAGAGCAGCAAAGAGCCATGTCGACCGTACGAGGCGCCATCTTGTATATTCAGCAGCGTGTGGGAAAGTGGTTTTCTCCTGAAGTCGATGATCATCTCCTTGGTCTTACTGGTGTTCAAGCACAAGTGGTTGCGCTCACACCAGTCGACAAAGTCCTTGATAACCGACCGATATTCCAGTTGGTTCCCCTCAGACACACAGCCCACGATGGCGGAGTCGTCGGAGAACTTCTGCAGGTGACAGCTGTGTGTGTCGTGTGTGAAGTCTGAGGTGTAGATGGTGAAGAGAAACGGTGAATAGTCCAAACACACAGCAATCCAAAATGTGTTTTAATCTTTTTAAGATTCAGCATATTTCCCATATGCAGTGAAACCACTTTGGAATAACTGTGCAAGACCACAGTCCGTTAGCTGAGATTTCAAAGTCAAAATCTCATAATCTTTATTCATTCAGTTTGTCTTCCAGGTCTTGCATCAAAGTCAAAATCTGTGACATAGTGTCATTGGAAGCAACACAGACGCTGAGGAGCACAGGGACTGGCCTCCAGCTGGGACTCTGAGGAGCACAGGGACCGGCCTCCTGCTGGGACTCTGAGGAGCACAGGGACTGGCCTCCAGCTGGGACTCTGAGGAGCACAGGGACCGGCCTCCTGCTGGGACTCTGAGGAGCACAGGGACTGGCCTCCTGCTGGGACTCTGAGGAGCACAGGGACTGGACTCCTGCTGGGACTCTGAGGAGCACAGGGACTGGACTCCTGCTGGGACTCTGAGGAGCACAGGGACTGGCCTCCTGCTGGGACTCTGAGGAGCACAGGGACTGGCCTCCTGCTGGGACTCTGAGGAGCACAGGGACTGGCCTCCTGCTGGGACTCTGAGGAGCACAGGGATTGCCTCCTGCTGGGGTCTGAGGAGCACAGGGACTGGACTCCTGCTGGGACTCTGAGGAGCACAGGGACTGGCCTCCTGCTGGGACTCTGAGGAGCACAGGGACTGGACTCCTGCTGGGACTCTGAGGAGCACAGGGACTGGCCTCCTGCTGGGACTCTGAGGAGCACAGGGACTGGACTCCTGCTGGGACTCTGAGGAGCACAGGGACTGGCCTCCTGCTGGGACTCTGAGGAGCACAGGGACTGGACTCCTGCTGGGACTCTGAGGAGCACAGGGACTGGCCTCCTGCTGGGACTCTGAGGAGCACAGGGACTGGCCTCCTGCTGGGACTCTGAGGAGCACAGGAACTGGCCTCCTGCTGGGACTCTGAGGAGCACAGGGACTGGACTCCTGCTGGGACTCTGAGGAGCACAGGGACTGGCCTCCTGCTGGGACTCTGAGGAGCACAGGGACTGGACTCCTGCTGGGACTCTGAGGAGCACAGGGACTGGCCTCCTGCTGGGACTCTGAGGAGCACAGGGACTGGACTCCTGCTGGGACTCTGAGGAGCACAGGGACTGGACTCCTGCTGGGACTCTGAGGAGCACAGGGACTGGCCTCCTGCTGGGACTCTGAGGAGCACAGGGACTGGCCTCCTGCTGGGACTCTGAGGAGCACAGGGACTGGCCTCCTGCTGGGACTCTGAGGGATCTTTCTTACATTTATCCAAAGTACAACATGTTTTCTATAAAGATAAAGACAAAGGCTTGATGTGGTCTAATGTGCTCACAACTTTAGACTTTTACAGACTCTTTCTATTTGGACAAACAACATGAACTTGTTTTTATGAATGAGACAAAAAGTGACGTACTTCGGGCTTCGATACAGGTTTTGTGGAGGAAAAGTGTCTTTGTGCAATTATGTCAAAACTCGAGAGCCGCAAGAAAACAGATTTTTACTCCTCTTTCATCTGTTTGTCTCGAGTTTTGGTTGTTTTCTGTTCAGTTGGAAATTTCCCCGTCTGACATTTTACCAGCGCTATTTTGTCTTCATGGATCACAGCAAAACATCAATGCTTTTTTTTAACCAGAAACGCAAGATCTTTCTGGTTGTTTTTGGCCCCACATGACAGACATCATTGTTCAGTTGTGATTCTAATTGAGGGGAATTGTGATTTCTGTGAACACTGATCAATCTGTTTTTCTATTATGATCATAGACTGTTTGATTTTCTAATTTGCACTGGACAAATCGACAATTGTGTTAAGTCCTTTTGTGTTTTCTTCTCAAAGGGGAGTGCAGAGATGGTCCCTTGGTCTATGGCAAATTATAAAAACTATAGGAAAAAAGAAAACTTATTTTGTTAGCCTTTTTGGACACAGAAATCAAACAGAATCAGGTCCTGGAAACAACACAAATAAGAAAAATAACAAAACAAAAAAGAAAATCTGTGCTTCTCATGGTCTTCTCTAGTGATTGGGCTTTTTCCTTGAATCGAGGATGGAAGTTTAGTCCTTTTTAGGCCCGAGCCCCGAACGGGGTAAGGGCCTATTGCTTTCACAATGGTGAATGCAAATGGTGGCGGTGCGTGACGCGTCCGTCACTCACCACAACACGACGGTTGCGTGCGTAAAACTCAAATGCTTTAAATTGATGTATCACGTGCCACTGAAACCTATATTGTTTTTGCTCGAGATGTTGAAAAAAAAAATCCTTAATTATTTCTTTATTTTTTCTTCTGCACTTTGAGCCTTAATTTGACCCCCTGAACATGCATGAAAAGTTGTTCAATTCTGCCCAAAAATCAGACCTGGTAAAAACTTTATTTTTATGGGACCAAAAAAATGCCACCTACGACAGCCAATTTAATACCTCTATGGGAGTTTTCGGGGGTCAAGTTTGTCCTAGAGCCATGAAATTCTGTACACATGTTCCTCAAGTCAAGACATGAAAAAAATTTTGTTATGGCCCCGCTCTCTGACAAACAGGAAGCCCATAAATTTCAGTGCAAAATGGAAAAATATCCTTTTCATACATGTCGGTTGGAAAGCGACTCCTCCTCGGCCGTTTCACCGATTTGCCTAAAAATTGCTCCACATCATCTCAACACATGTACCTTCAAAATGACTTCAGGGAATTTTGATCAGTGAAACGTTGTTTGAGCAGCGGAGCGCCAAAAAGTGGCAGATTTTTTTCAGTTTTTGACAATAGAAAAATTGCTTCCGTTTGCACAAACAAAGTCTGATTTGCACAAAACTTGAATCCATGGTTCAACTCTTGGGTTTAGGTAATTTGAAAGTTAAACATTTTAAATTGGCTCTATAGCGCCACCTACAACAGCCAATTTAAAAATGCCTATGGGAGGGGTTCGAGGTCAAAATTGTTGTAGAGCCATGTAATTTGGTACACATGTTCCTCAAGTCAAGACATGATTTTTTTTTTATTATGGCTAAGCCCTCTGACAAACAGGAAGTCCATACATTTCATTGCAAAAAGGAAAAATGCAAAGCAATAATTTTCCTCCTCGGCCGTTTCACCGATTCGCCTAAAAATCGCTCCACATCATCTCAACACAAGTACCTTCAAAATGACCTCAGGGATTTTTGATCAGTGAAACATTTTTGTTTCACTGATCAAATGTAATGTTGTTTTTGACAACATTAAATTTGCTCCTGTTTGCACAAACAAAGTCTGATCTGCACAAACCTTGAATCCGTTGTTCAACTCCAGGGTCTAGGTCAATTGAAAGTGAAATAATTCAAATTGGCCCATTAGCGCCCCCTACAGACTGAGGCAAAGTTTTACATGGGGAGCCAAACCAACTCAACTGATCATATTAATTACAATTTCACAAACATTCTTCTATGGCTACGGGAAACAAATCATGACGCGGCGGCGCCACCTCCGATACACGGGCTGTTGTGGAGCGGCGCGTGCGTCTTGTAACGGGGCGGGGTGGTGCGAAACGCCGTGGTGCGAAACGCCGTGGTGTGAAACGCCGTGGTGCGAAACGCCGTGGTGCGAAACGCCGTGGTGCGAAACGCCGTGGTGCGAAACGCCGTGGTGCGAAACGCCGTGGTGCGAAACGGCGTGGTGCGAAACGGCGTGGTGCGAAACGGCGTGGTGCAAAACGCCGTGGTGCGGGGAGTCGCGGGGTGTGGCAAGGGCCTTTTGACGCCGCTTGTGGCTTTAATTTTTTGTTTATTTTCTCCCTTTTCCCCACTGTTTATTTTATTAGAGCTTTCCCTTGCAGAGGCTAAGGAGTGTGGTGCTGATTCAGGAAACACAACATTCAACAACATTTATGGACTTTTGTCTCTAATCCTTATGGACCAAAGGCTCTTTGTGTTTTTTATTATTGAATTTCCTGTATTTGAACTCTTTCCATTGTTGTGATTTAGGGCTGTACAAAGATACATCAAATTGAATTATTAAGAACACACAACCAAAACAGAAACAGTAGACGGTACTGTAGTAGTGGCAGTGGACACAGTAGATTGTGTGACAGTGGGTGAGGGGGCTTCCAAAAGCTTTTTCCACATCCAGCCTTTCTGTGCTCCCTTAAGCAGAAAAAAGTCAGATTCAGATGAAATGTATTTGTCACTGTGAAATGGATCAAACTAAAACAGTTTCAGTACAAAGACAAGATCATTTATGCTGTGTTTAAACTGACAACAGTTTGGGGAAAGAAGCGGTTTGCAAAATGAGATGTCGTGCATCTCAGTGAACGATATCTTCTGCCAGAGAGAAGAAGCTGGAACATGGCTTTCCCAGTGGCCAGAAGAGTCATTGATTATTATGAAAGAGCAGGAACTGTGGAAAACTGGGAACTTCTTGTAGTTTAGTTTTGTAATGTATTTTTTCCTCCTCCAGCACCTCCTCCATCTCCTCCTCCATCATCTCCTCCATCATCTCCTCCATCACCTCCTCCATCACCTCCTCCATCACCTCCTCCATCACCTCCTCCATCTCCTCCTCCATCACCTCCTCCATCTCCTCCTCCATCACCTCCTCCATCACCTCCTCCATCACCTCCATCTCCTCCATCACCTCCTCCATCTCCTCCTCCATCACCGTGTGGTTCGCTGGAGCCACAGATCAGATCAGATTCAGATTCAGATCAGATTCATTTATTTGCCATTTGCAGTAAAACCACATTGGAAAAACTGTGCAAGACTACCCCAGTGTGCACCAGACAGAGAAGACGACACACACCAGAGCTCTTGCCACGGCGCCATCTTTACGGCGCCATGCGACAAACAGTAGAATAAACAGCAGAGAGCTGTAACATACAGTTTCACAGACAGTTGGATAGACACATTGTGCTTTGTATAAAGCACGGATTTTTTTCTCAGGATGAGCACCTCCTACAGCCGGCCCAATGTGGCTGTCAGAGGGGGGCGGGGTCAGGGAGGGGGTGAGTCGGAAACACAGTGAGGAGTGGAGGGGAGGGAGGGAGCAAGATGGATAGGTAGAGGGAGGCGGGGGGAGCGGGACAAACAGAGACTACAGTGCATTGTGCGCTCTGCAGAGGAAGTGATCGGCCGCAGCCTTCCATCGCTGCAGGACCTGTACGTCGCCCGAGCTCGAGGCCGGGCTGGTCGTATCACAGCCGACCCCTCTCACCTGCACATGGACTATTCCAACCACTCCCCTCTCACCTGCACATGGACTATTCCAAACACTCCCCTCTCACCTGCACATGGACTATTCCAACCACTCCCCTCTCACCTGCACATGGACTATTCCAAACACTCCCCTCTCACCTGCACATGGACTATTCCAACCACTCCCCTCTCACCTGCACATGGACTATTCCAAACACTCCCCTCTCACCCTGCACATGGACTATTCCAACCACTCCCCTCTCACCCTGCACATGGACTATTCCAACCACTCCCCTCTCACCCTGCACATGGACTATTCCAACCACTCCCCTCTCACCCTGCACATGGACTATTCCAACCACTCCCCTCTCACCCTGCACATGGACTATTCCAACCACTCCCCTCTCACCTGCACATGGACTATTCCAACCACTCCCCTCTCACCTGCACATGGACTATTCCAACCACTCCCCTCTCACCTGCACATGGACTATTCCAACCACTCCCCTCTCACTTGCATATGGACTATTCCAAACACTCCCCTCTCACCTGCACATGGACTATTCCAACCACTCCCCTCTCACCTGCACATGGACTATTCCAACCACTCCCCTCTCACCTGCACATGGACTATTCCAACCACTCCCCTCTCACCTGCATATGGACTATTCCAAACACTCCCCTCTAACCTGCACATGGACTATTCCAACCACTCCCCTCTCACCTGCACATACAATACAATACAATTTATTCTTGTATAGCCCTAGGTCACAACAGAAGTCATCTCAGAGACTTAACAAAACCATTGAAATCACCAACACAGGTCAGAGAATCAACAGTTAAAACACATGAAGAATATAAAGCACACACAGAAGAAAATGTCCATACATGTTGTAGAATGCTAAAGTGTCCTGATCATCACCAATCCTTTCTGTTGGACACTAACTGTCCAACAAGACCCTCCTGCATCGACAAGGAAAAACTCTTAAAAAACCCAACCACTCCCCTCTCACCTGCACATGGACTATTCCAACCACTCCCCTCTCACCTGCACATGGACTATTCCAACCACTCCCCTCTCACCTGCACATGGACTATTCCAACCACTCCCCTCAGGCAGGAGACTGCGGTCCATCAGGACTAGAACCTCCCACCATAAGACTTCCCTCTGAAGTGTTCAAGTCCCTCTTGAACACTTCATAAACCACCAGTGACCTCTGACCTTATGACCGTCACTTTATGCTACTGTCACTTTACTGCACTCTTAACAGTCTATTGTGTGCCTTCTTGTTTTTATTCTGCTTTGCACCGAGAGCCAAACTAATTTCCTAGTTTGTGACTTCCTGTTACTCCCATGGCAATGAAAAGGGTTAGGATTCTGATTTGTTGGTCATTATGAACATTAGATCTTGGGTTTTCAAAGAGCTTATACATTTTCAGGAAAACAACACTAAATTGTGTACTAAGATTTTTAGTGCTAAATAAAGCCTTGCCAAAAGGGGTTTAGGTTGAAGTCAACACTTATCCTGCCTAACCCTTATTACAACTGTGACACTATGTCCAAAGATGACACTTTATAAACACCAAAGATATCCATCACAGCTGGATCAAGAGTTTTAAAAGCCACATAAATGTTTCCCGTCTCTTTTTCCCGTCTCTCTTTCCCATCTCTCTTTCCCGTCTCTCTTTCCCGTTGGCCAAACTCACATGGATGCTCTATACTTTGCACAACTTCACACAATGACCTCACCGTGTCTGAATGCTGGCGAATAGCCCCATCTCCTCTGGCCCCCGGCGCTACCTTAAATGCTGCTATCAATCTTCATTTGAGCGTTCGGGGAGGGGAGCATTTTTCTATCAGCGGCTCGATCCATCTGTCTACGTCGCGGCCAAAGCTACCGCTGCCGAATTAGGAGAAAGTTTAGTTACTACTACGTGAGCGCCGTAATTGGTGGAGTGATTATGCAGAGCCAGCGGAGTCCCAGGTGGAGTCGGAGCTGGATCGGGAGGCGTCGATCCGTGAAAAAAGGACAGGTGCAAAGGGTAATGGGCCACAAAAACTGGGGATGGATCCATAACCTTTGTAATAACCTGCAATGAATCTTGTTAATGTAACAGGGGCGGCCTGGAGTCACACAAAGGTACGGCAATTTCATGATGGGACGTTGCCTTTTGAGTCGGACAGGGCGATCTGAGGGAAAAATAATTCACATACTTAAATATTAATATATACTTAAATATCTGGCATGACACAACTATATTTCTTATTGCCAAACTTGTTTGCTGTTATCTCAATGTAACTGCCACTATACTGGTGTCTATTGATGTTGATAATTGAACCCTATCTTTTCTTTTTTTGAGAGAAAGTAGCAAAACATATCCTGGAAACATAATTAAAATCTAAATAGCTCAAGTGATTAAAACATAATCATTTTTTTATATAGCCCTATAACTTCTCCCCTAACTAAATAAATAATGTCTATGGTTTCTTCTTCTTAGTCTTAAAGCTGATCTAAAGATGATTCAGAGACAAAAACAGACTTCCATACATAAACAAGGCTTTAATCCCATAACCCCCACAATAGATTGAATACTGAATACTGAATTTCTCCATCTGTGTGAGATAATAAAGGATTGATTGATTTAAACAATAATTACATAAAAAGTAAATTTAACTTCCTGTTCCTCATTTTTTTCAAATGCCAAATAAACTGAAGCCGTACCAGCAGATTCATGCAGGCTTTTAAGATCCTGCCTCTTGCTTGCGGTGGCATCCAATTCTGCAAGCAGGTGGTAACTAAAGTCTCATTTTACAATCTAAAAATAGCTTTGCTCGCATTCTCCAGGAACCAACACAATAACGGCTCCAAAGGGGGTCTCCCACAAAAACACAGCCTCCGCTTAAACCAGGCCAATGTATAAATGCACAATCTCAGGAGACCGAACCGTTCTACGCACGCTGTTGTAGAGCCAGTTTTAGCTTCTGTAAACTCTGCTGCTGCCATCTGCTCCTCACCCAATCAATGGGATGTGTTATTTTTAGATAAACGAGGTGTTCTCCCGTCACAGAACGTCCGTTTTTAGTCCTGGTGTAGACTGGGTTTGGTCCTGCTTCAGTCCATGTCCTAAGTCTTTCATCAGCATTGGTTGACTACAGTATGTTACATCTAACTGTAAATCTTGAATAAATTGTAGTTTTGCCATATTTCTCCATCCATCTATCCATCCATTTTCTTCCACTTCATCCGTTGCCGGGTCGCGGGGGCAGCAGTCTAAGCAGAGACGCCCAGACTTCCCTATCCACACACACTTCCTCCAGCTCGTCCGGGGGGACCCCAAGGCGTTCCCAGGCCAGCTGAGAGACATAGTCCCTCCAGCGTGTCCTAGGTCTTCTTTTGCATGGATCGCTTGTTTTTCTACATTGTCGCAGCTTGTGAACACCCCAAATAAAACATTTCGGAAAAACAATATTTTGACATAGTGAAATTCAGAAACCAACTCATGATATAGACATTTTAAAAATACATAAGTCTTTGTTTCCTATAATGTTCTATATTATTCTAATTCTCTCAGTTTTGTTCAGGGTTTTCACAGCTGTGAGACAGTGATCATGTATTAGTTTTACATTGTGAGATGACTATTTCAACAATATTCTAATTATCCGAGTTTCACTGTACGTATTTGGATCAAACAGACTGAAAATACATTGGATGAATGTTTATGTCCTATGTTATATAATTATGATCTTATAATACCAAACGATAAAGACGCATAAGCAAAACCATCTGAACACTGTCTTTGTGAAGACTTCAGGACCACGGACAGCGATACTAATGAGTTTCCTACAGACAGACTTTACCTTTCCGCTTTAGAGTGCGTTCACACGAAACAGAAATGAGGGAAATGGACTTTGAGGACTTCGGAAGAATTTTCTCTGGGGGTGGTATTTTCCAGTAAACCCAAGTGATAATTTATTTATTTAAATACTGCTTGTTTTTTTTTCACAGCCTTGACAATATGGTCGAACAGAATTTGAATGGAATAGCACCGTCCGATTATTTTAGTTTAGATTTATTCTTCAGAAAGGATTGTTCTATTAAATTTATATTCCTCAATACAAATGTTACAAACCGTTAGGTCAGCACCACGGACAGCGACACCACATTTGTCCATGAAGGCATTCCATTCATATTGCTCATAAATAAAAATGTCTAGGTTTTTTCTCTTGCAGTGATGATTTAAGGTTTTCCTGGTTAGCTTGTTCCTTCCCGGCCCTGAGATATTATTTAATATTCTAAATTTATTTATTTATTACTGGGACAGTGCACATTAATGAACATTTTGGTAAATATCCCAGAATTAGCCAAACGGCTATTTTTCATCCGTAAAACATGAAATGACAATCTCCTAATTACGTTTAATGGCCAAAAATAGTGCGTAATACGTTTTTTTATTCAGCGCAGG